GAAACCAGGGACCACCTTCCTCACCTCTCTTCCCTGGACTGCAGCACTTCTAAAATGGTTCTATTGTCTCAACAAATTCTTCTCCAGAGAATTTTTCTTTTTTTTTTTCTGTTTCTTTTTTTTTCTTTTTTTCTTTTTTTTGAGGTGGGGGCAGTGCTGGGGATTGAACTCAGGGCCTTGCACATATTGCACATGCTAAGCAAGTGCTCAACCACTGAGGTACATCCTCAGACCCCTCCAGACAGTTTTCTAACTGGGTAACATCACAGAAAATCAGTCCCTGGAGAGAAGAGGAGCTCATTTCCCAAGGGCTGAGAAAAAAACTGGACTAGAAGTGAGTGTGGATGGAGGGAGGGAGACCATGGAGGAGGAAAACAGGACTATTGGAGTCTGAAAAGGGAGAACTATTCCCTTCCCTCTCGTCCTTGTGCCAACACCAGGCCAGTCTTCAGTTTGAAGCAGTCACGGGACAGAGAGGGGCCAAGGAAAGCTTGGCCCCTGCATTCCCTCTCCTACCTCAGCACCGGATACAATTTAGTCCCAGCTAAGGTCAGGGGCCAGGAACAAATGCTGTGGGGCCAGCTGGCCAGACAGTTCCCAATTAGACTTTGTTTCTCATCCTTAAGGCCCAGAGCCCCCAACCCCTGCACCCTGGCCCAATTACTGCCCAACAGCATTAACCCCTTGGTGCCCCAGGCCGTTAATGGAATGTTAATTGGTCTAATGGGTTTCATGTCAACAAGTCCTAATGAGCTCTTTCTAACGAGCTTGGCATTTTTTTTCTAAGCCTGTTTGTCAACACACAGGAGTTTGGGCTTCAGTCAGAGCCTCCTGTGCCTGGCTGTGGGGAGCTAGTGCTGAGGAGGCAGAGGAAGATGGGTACCCTTAGGCTGAAGTTCCCGTTTGCTAAAGGAGTGTGCCTTTGTGCCCTCCCCCCCCACCCGCGCCCCTCCCCAGCCTCACCGGGCTCCTGGCCTCTTGTAAAGTGATATTTTCAGCTCCTTTTAATGGGATGATATCAGTGACACAAATATTTCTTCTTGGTTATTCTCGTGGAGTATTGTATTGTTTCTTGTCACCCCTCGCTGTTACACAGTAAAGGTTTTCAGCATTAAAAACAAAACCAAACTGAACAGGAACCTCACCTGGATGGGAAATCTGTCCCTGGTAAATGTTCCTCGTGTGCCCTCCATTTGCAGTCTTGGCTTTGCTCCCTGAATGCCCTGGTGTCTGGTAACAGAAGCGCCAGGGCTTCTGGACAGGGCCAGAGCCAGGCAGGCAGCTTCTCACAGCCCCTGACAAAAGCTCAAGGCCCTGGGCTGGGTTTGCTCCTGGAGCTCAGTCCTGCCCCCACTCCCCACTCCCAAAGGAAGTACACAAAAGGGAGGTCTCCCCAAAGGCTGGGACCCCAGCTGTGCTGAAGGACTCCCCCCATGCTCAGGCCAGAGTCTCAGTCAAGTCCCTCACCAGATGAGTCAGATCCCCAAATTCCTCTCCAGATGGTTGCATGTGGCCCTTCAGTGGACCTAGTGGGATGGGGGTGCACATGCAGGTGGAAGGGGTGAGGATCCGGGGCTTCTAGAGCTGGGTATGGGGTCCAACGGCAGCTGAGCTCCCAAATGTCAAGTTGTGGGAGGCTTCTGCGCCTCAGTGAGCAGAGAAAGAAACTTAAGCTCCTGTTGAAAAGACCTCCTGTTCTCCTGCAGAAGGAGCCCCTAGAGGGCAATGGGGCAGTGGCCTAGTGGCCTGTGGTGACCCAGGGTGGGGGGAGGGCAAGGGCCATCTGGGTTCTCTGAAGATTGCTTGTATGGTCTCCACCTCAGGGGTCTGAGCCCTGCTCCACAGCCTCGCAGGCTCAGGACTGAAAAGTATCCCAGCCTTCTGGATGGTCGTCTCTGGGAGCAGACCACTCTTAATGTCCCTCCTTGCCCTGAGACAGGACAGCTCTAAATATGTCTAGGGATATTGCCTCTAAACTGACCTGCATCCCATTCACAGAACAGTGAACAAAAGAATACAGACTTATCTTTTTAGCCCAAATTCTCTGCTTTGCATTTCCTTTGCTTTGCCTTCACTGTGAATTTCTCTTTTATGGAATGAAGTTACCAAAATACCCAAACCTAGAATTAAAGGAAACTGGTTGCCCCAACAGGAAACAAACAAACAAAAAACACCTCTTTTCTGGATGCGAATCCCACCCTGACTCTGCCCCCAAGCTCCCTCTTCTGGAAATTTCTAGTACTGCATCTGTGCTGCCCTTGGTGCAACGAACCTCCAGGATTGGTGCTCCCAGGAAGTGACACAGCTACCCCGTAGGCTCCATCCAAAGTTGCCTTGTCCAGAGTTCCAGGAGAGGCTGTGCCTAACATGTCCCAAAAACATCCCTAGTTCGTCGATTCTCTCAGGGTTCTTAAAAGAGATTCTACACCCATTCTAATGTCTCCAAAGTCTTAATTCTGGAAGTCCATTCTAATGTCTCAAGGAATTTGTATTGGACTGGAGGAGTAGCTCAGTGGTTGAGTACTTGGCTAGCATGCATGAGACTCTGGATTCTATTCCTAGCACTGCAAGAAAGTATGAGAAAACCCCATAAATCTGTATCCACCTTTTCCCCCTTGGGAGCCCTCTCCACTCTGCTCTTGACTCCTTTGGCTGGCTGCCACCCACACAAAGACCTAATCATTAAAATAGGCCTTGCCCCTGTGGGTGACGGCTAGTGCCAGAGCCCACCTGTAATCCTGGCAATTGGGGAGGCTGAAACAGGAGGATTGCAAGTTTGAGACCAGCTTAGGCAACTTAGTGAGCCCCTGTCTGAGAATAAAAAATAAAAAGGGATGGGGATGTGGCTCAGTGGTAGAGCACCCTTGGGTTCAATGCCCAGCATAAAATAAATTTTAAAAAATAAAATAAGCCTTGATAATTACCCTGCACAAATGGATAGGCTCTCTTCACAGCTCTCTGCTGAGCCCATGTGCAAAAGAGAAGCCTGGAACTCAGTGCCCAGTGTGTATAAGAAGGGCAGGACTTTATGTGGTTTTGTCACAAGGATATTCTGGTGGTCCATCTTCTGAAGTCAGGCCAGGGTAAGGAGCAATTCAGGCCATGGAGTCAAAAGCACTGTCCATACAGGAACAGCCATCATTCTTGCACTATCCCCACCTTGCCTTCTTATTTCCTGCTAGATTATCACCTTCCTCTACCAACCAGCCTCCCTGGAGAGAAGATCTGGCCTCATTCATCCATCCTGCCTCACCCCCTAATACAGTTCCCTGCACAGAGCTGATACCGATAAACATCTACTGAATGAAACATGAATCTCCGCTGCTTTTCGTGTGCACTTAAGGTCAAAGCATACCTGGTACTTTGGAGACTCAGGTCAGGCCAGAATAGATCTTTTTTCCCCTTCTTTAAACAACATCACCATCACCACATGCACACACACACACACACACACACACACACACACACACGCACGCACACACACATACGCTGGGCCCTGGAAACATGCCCCTTTATTTAATAGCAGCTCCAAGACACCGCCTGCTTCCTGCAGCCTTCGGGTACATGCACATTTTGGAAGACCTGGAGAGGGCCAGGCTGACTTGGCATCAGACTGGAGGAGAGTGGAGTCCTTGAGAGCTCTCAGAGAGAGGGGAGGAAGGTTTGAAAGCAGGCTCACAAAGGCTTCTAGCTCCTCAGCACCCTCCTCTCAGGAGACAGGTCCCATATTCCCATAAATTCTTGCAATCTCCCTCCCTGTGAATAGATAGCTCAGTATCAGCAACCAACCTGCAGTTTCTGGCCCTAACTATTTCAGGGCATCCACTGTAGTTCATCAGCTCTCTGAGCATTCTGTTTCCTTGGGTGGCACTGCCAGGCTGTATCACTTACACACTATGGGCACCACGTTCTAGTTCAAGAGGAAATTTTGAGGCCTCACGGGGACAGCTCAATTACTGATGATAGAGTGGGGGTGGGGTGCAGTGGAACAGACCTGAAACACACACACACACACACACACACACACACACACACACACACACACACATACACACCACTCTGGATTGTGTCTTCTCTATAAAAAGCAGGCCAACAATTTGGCTCTTCTGGTCCCAGATGACTGTGACTCTATTATTGAACCAAAGCTAAAGGAAGTCCTGGAACCACTACATGCACCAAAATAAACAAACAACAACAACAAAAAACCCTGGAGGACTGATGTTGCCCTGCCTTTTTCATTCCCTAAGACCTCCAAGTGGTCACCTTTGGACTGCAGTCTGAGGGGCCAGTATCCCACATCCCATGCTACCACTAGGGGGTGTGGTGAGCACACATGGGAGGGGTGGGGCTGATGCTTGGAGATCCTGAGGGGACCTGAAGGCTTCCTGCCCCTGTGAGTGCTGGTGGTTGCTCCATTTATTTATTTATTCTGGTGCTAGGGTTGGAGCCCTGGGTCTCACACATGCTAGGCAAGCATTCTACCTCTGAGCACACTCCCAGTCCTGGTGTTGGCTCCACAACACCTGGGAAAGTGTGGGGCAGGAAGGACCCTTATCATGACCAGTTGGGAGGAAGCTCAGGGTTCTCCCAGGTCAAGCTGGGAAGGAGAGGTATCTGAGAAGCCTCCAATCCCGCTGGGTTAACACCAGTCAAGTCACCCTCCACCTCTCCACCCCCACCCCCATTCCCATACACACACCAGGCCATCGCTGATGCTGAACAAAGCATCGCTGCAGGGGTACCGGCTGTTTTACATATGATTTGAATACTGTTTCTTTCAAGTCAAAATAGCACAGCAAGCCCCTCCCCGCCCAAGCTTCTCCCCTTAGCTTTCATTTGTTCCCCTGAAGGGTCCCCAGCCCTTGCTGCATCTCACCAGTCTTGGTGACCCAGCCTGGAAAAAAAAAAAACCAAAAAAACAAATGTGGAGCTGGTCGGTCCCCAGGGCTCCCCTGCGCTCGATGGTATTAACAGTGCGGCCCCCTTTCTCCTGCCCACAGATCCTCGATGTGAATCAATCCCATGATGCAACATGCCTCCCCAGCCCCAGCTCTGACAATGATGGCCACGCAGAATGTCCCTCCCCCACCCTACCAGGACAGCCCGCAGGTGAGTTGCCAGCGAAGGAAGAAGTGGGGAGGGAGCATGGTAGCCCTGGGGATCCCCCTGGGAGGCTGGGATATTTCAGGGCTGAGGGGCCTGATCCGATGGGACTCTGCTTTACCCAGCAGCCTGGGGGCTCTTCCCTGTCAGGCCTAGGGAGGCTTCTCCGCAGAGAGTGCAGTGAACACAGGCCCCTGATGAAACTCAAGGTTCAGATCCTACCTGAGTCATTCCATCACCAGGACCATAACCTGGAGGAGTGGTCATAGAACTGTCCCTCGTCCCCTACCTGGCAGGCATAGCTGAGTACAATTGAACCCTTTTATTGTGATCAATACAAAATCCACACTCAAGATCCTAGTACCTCATGTAAGCAGAGTCTGCCTTTAGGTATTCAGGAAACTTCCTACTTACAGGTTCTCCCCTACTAGATTCCCCCTTCGATGGTCACTTGAGTCCTTTTGTCTAGTCCTTCACTGACAGCCTATTGGAAGAATCTGCTCTCATCCGGACTTTGCTGGACTTCTACTTAGAAAAATAGAATTCTTTCTTTATTCCCTCAACTCTTTCCCCCTTGGTCTCCAGCTTCCATCCCTTAGCTCAGCCGCTCAAGTTCTTCTGAGACACCCTTCCAGGTTGCAAGTCCTTCAGTGTCCTAGGAAGCATCTTCTCACCGTATTTCTGTTATCTCTTTTGCTCCTTCTGCAAGACAGGTCCAGCTTTTGTGGGTTGGGCTCCTACAGTCCTTAAGACCTATGGCTTCTCCTTCTGCTTCCCCCACTTGCCTCTCACTCCGCCTTGGATCTTTGAAAGCCTGATTTATGTGGGGGAGCTTTCACAGAAGGCTCCATTCTCTGACCTTTATCTTCACACTCTCCTGTTTTCTCTTCCCTGGCCTCTGAAGTCAATATTAATTCAATAATTATTTATTGAGCATCTGTCATGTGAAACTAGAATGCTCACTTAACCTGGGTGCAGAGAGGGCCTACTGTGTGCCAGACTCCCACTCTCCATTCAGTTGCCCTTCCCTGTGCCCCTTACTCATTAGCATTTCAAACACAGCCCTTTTTCACCAACCACACTGAAGATCTGTGCAGTGGAAAAGGGTATTAAGATGCAGATAGGGCAGGGAGACTTTTGATCACTTTGGGTCCTGTGGTCCTGATACCCCTGTCCTAGAGTCAGCATATAGGTAGCTGTTCCGTACTCCCTTGACATCCCCTCACAAAATGACCAGATGATATGGGGCCATTTTGCACAGTGTCTAGCAGGCAAATCCCCTTTGATTCCTCTCCCTCTGAAAGTACAAAAGCCCTCCTCATTCACCCACTGTGAGCACATGATCTTGAGTCCCCCGCCTTACTCCACAGAGTGACTTCATGTTCCCTCCCTGGCTCTCCCTAACTGAATTCTATATTCAGCAAACTGTCTGTCATAAGTGACTGCAGAGCTGGACTTGGCATTTACAACATCTCCTCTATTCAAAAGTTTTCAGACATCCAATATTTTCAGGGCTCTTCCCTCTATAGTCCCTGGTCCCAGAGATGATTTCAGAAGAAGCCCTCAACTAGTGAAGAAGAAAGATTGACAGAAGAGGAGTCTCTGGAGCATAATGTGGGACAGGAACCCACCTCCCTCATAGATGCAGACCCATTCCCATATCTCTCTGTCAGGAGGCTAGTATTAGGGGACCCATGGTGTATTAAGAGGCAGAAAAATTGGCTCCTTTTTCTTGGTAACTAGAAACTGCTTTTTAAGTTCCACTATGAGAATGGGGAACAAAAATGAGTTCACTTCTTATATTTGGCAGGTAGTGGGTGCCGGTGCAAACCCTACACACACACACACACACACACACACACACACACACACACACACACCAAAGCTTTAGGATACACTGGGGAAGGACCAAGAGGTCAAAGAGCACTGGATTGTCACAGCTGGAGGCAGCTGCTTCCTGCCTCCTGCCCCTCCCTGTTCTGCCTGCCTGGGCAGCTGGGAGAAGTTTTGGTTTGGCAGGGATTAGCAGAATTGCTGTAGCAAGGGTCCATGTAGTCCAAGAATGCTGATCCAGGAGCCTAATTTCATTCGCACATATAGCTGGATGAATAAGTCCCAGTTGCTGAGAGAGGGGATGGAGGTGGGGCTGCAGCCCCAGATGCCACCACTGAGCTGCTCTGGCCTTGGGGGGACCTCAAGCAGAAGCCAGGTGCAGGGACTGCCCCACACTCTTCTATGTGAGGCTCTACCAGAACTTCACTACTGAGAACATTGGAATTTACAGCAGAGGGATAATCTGC